GGTAAAAAATTCATGGAAAATGTTACTTGTGCACTCTTTCCTTGTCACGATTGTTGACGTGTCAGTGTTGACAAGTGTTGATTGGGTGAAAAAATTGTGTAAAATTTAAACTATTCAATAATGTGTTGTTACGTGTCAAAGTATAAAAAAAATGTAAAAGATAATGTACATGTAGCATGATTAAAAATCATTTATTATGCTTGCAGTTCCCTTTCCTTTCTTTCTTTTTCGCGTCGTTATCTATGCTACTTAGGGCTGCCAAAATCACACCATTTCGCAGCAACAATAATACACATAAGTAGAGCTAGAGGCAGCATTCTAAGTAAAAGACAGAAAAAGGAACATTTATTAACTAGAAAATAAAAATTATATTGCTCGATAATGATTTTTCTGATATGAGAAGATAATATGTTGTCATACAAAAATTATATCGAACAAATGGTTGATAAGTACGGAAAACATTTTAAAATAATAGAAATATCAACAACAAAGAAAATGCTACTCAACATTGATTTTATTACAAAATATATTGAAATGTTAGAGCTTCATTAACATATTAATGAATGGAATATTATTCTAACTTTCAATTCGAGAGAGCAAAGGACGGGATATGCAGAATTTATTTGGTGTGCTGGGGGTTGTTTGGGTGGGTCCATTTTAATTTTTTTAAGGAATTTAACAAAATCACTTAAATTATTAGATCAAATTATTGGTAGGAGGAATTATTCCCACTGTTCATATGACCTGTAAAGGTCCTAAAAACCACCTTTATGAAAGCAACAAGTCTTGAGGAGAAATAGACCAAATTAGACTTTGCTCTCGTTTGGCCCTCTTTCTCGTTCTCGTTCTCATTTTTTCTTCTTTATTTTTTTCTAATCACACAATTTTTCGTAAAATAATATTAAATATAAATAAAAAAATTCATTTTTTCAACCACGCATTCTAAAGAAAAAAAATTATTCCAAACATTAAAAATTGAAAAAAAGGGGGCCAAAAGGGTTGTTTTTTTGATGTAGTTAAAAGTAACTTGGTATTATTCCCTCGACGCAAAGATAAAATTGAAAAAAAAAAATAAAAAAAGATAAAAAAGCATAGGATTCCTTTCTTACACAAGACAACTTGACAATTGTGATGACAAAATGTACAATTTTTTTCAGGTTTCTATTTTGGCATACTCTTGTCTTCTAGGATTTGTACATGTCCCATGCCTAGCACAATTCTGTTATTTTAGCCTATGTTTGATTTATATTTTAAAAAAAAATTAAAATTTTAGTAAATTTTAATAAAAATTGATAAAATATATAGTTGAAAGTTGTGAATTCTATTAAATATGTAACTAAAATCAGTTCTTAATATTGACTTAAATTTTAATGTAATTTTTTTTAGCTGAATCAAACAAGGACTTATAGTTTCAAGCTCGTTTAATATCTTGTCATTGGTTTACACGTTTTCACAAAAAAATTGACACAATTTCGGTTTAGTGGAAATTAAATTAAATTTTTAATCTAAATTAAAGTAAATAATTAATTTTAATCACATATTTAATGGGATCTAGAACATTTCAATCATACGTTTCATCAATTTTTATTAAAATATATTAAAAATCTTATTTTAGTCCCTACCAAACGAACAAGGGGCATATTGCCAAAGCAACCTTATTTGAATATGAGCTGCTACTTCTTGTCAAGTATTTGTTTCTTTAATTAGAATAATTGAATTGTTAGTTACTAATAAATTTTATTAATTATACTAATCAAATTGCTAATCACGAAATTGAATCCTTGGTTGTACGATAAGAAAATTCGACTGATTTTAAATAATTAAATTGCTAGTTATAGAGAATCAATCCTACACGAAGATTTTGAATAAATCCTCGGCTGATATCGGACAAGGAATACCCGTCTTTGTGTTAAATAGGAAGTATTAAATCAATAATTTAATAGATACTTTTTATAAAAGATAATATTTTTTGTACATAACTATCTACATAATGTTTTACACGATGATGACGTGTCAAAATGTAAGTGGGAAAATTATTTAATTGATAATATTTTGATTCAATTAAATCTCACCATATTATTTATTGATAAATCATTATATAAATTATTACGTACATATGTCTACTAAGTACTGAAAATAAATTGCTCCCTATTTTTTAATTATTTGATAATCAGCGTTATTCTTTAATTTGTTTAGTTATAATAACTAAATTATCAATTAACAAAACACAAATTGTTTTGAAGAATAAGATCGATTTAATTACAAAAATCATGATCAAGTTATGATGTACCATGGCAATTGTTATTTAAAGAACACATATTTATTGTCAATGACGGACGCAAAGTTTTTAAGGAACACAATGAAACTTGCAAAAAAAATTGTAAAAAACATAAATACATTCAATATCTTATTACAATTGTTCTGTACGCATTTTCACTCCTAACATACTTGGCATTAGTTTCAATAGGAACATCTTCAAGATTAGTTTCATTAGTTTCATCACCAAGGTCATTATCCCTTTCATCTTCAATATCATTTGCATCCATTTTATATCTAACATTACTTTCATTAATATTTTGCTCATCACAAGAATAATACATACTTACGTTTAAAGATTTGTCCATAACTAATACAAACAATCAGTTAAAATAATCAATCAAAGTAATAAGAAGTAAAAACATCAACCAATATTTAATACTAATAATCAATTCAAATAAACACATTTTAATAATTGTAAGTCAAACTGGACAAAATCATTCTAGACCCATACAATATATACAAATTAGAAATTATTCCATTTAACATAAATCATTTCAAATCTATTCCAAACCTATTCGACACAATTCAATATACAAAATTTAAAAATCATTCCTGAACATAAATTAGATAGAATGAAATAAACTATAATTTTTGCGGAGTTTGACACCCATTTTGGAGAAAAAAATAAATTATGGAATAGTGATTGATGGAAGAATGTGTGGTTGAAAAGTATTGAGAATTTTTGGGTTTATGTGTAGTATTATTTTATTGATAGAATGTGTGGTTGAAATGAATAAAGAAAAAAAAATGAGAATGTGAATGAGAAGAAAGTGGGTGTCAAACGGGGGCTTAATTCAAATTCATTTTCTTTATCACTTTGACTTTTGTTAAAAAAAATTGAAATTATAAGTTACTATCGTCTATTATTGATTACCTTTCAATTTTCAAATGCAAAATAACTTAAGTTGACCGTGACGGAGGTTCAACAAGTGAAGATGATGCAAGAATTACAATGAAAGATGAGGTCAATGATGTTGTAATGAAAGTCACTTTGCATCAGTGTTAGTAGAAAAAAAATGCAAATTTGTGTCCTAATTAATTGAAAATTTGATTGGGAAGTGAAGATTTGTAGTAGATTTGGTAATTTGTGTTAAAATTATAGACAATTTTTTAAGAATTAGTAGGGTTAGAATTTTGGTAATAGAGGTGAGGGAGAGCGTCGCGAGAGCAAGAGAGAAAATGTTAATTATGTTGTGATTTTGTCAAAAAAAAAAAAAAAAAAAACCCAAAATTCCCCAAAAGTTGGGGTGTCAATAAATATTAACTATTTTTGTTTAAACTATTATTTAATGTATGGATGTATTAGAAAAAATATAAGAAAATTTTATATTTTCAACTATATTAATCACATTTTCTTAATATCTTTAAAAATAAAAATAAGTTCATCTTCGTGAGATAAAGAGAGCATATTATATTTGATACATTCTCTAAATTTCTCGTTTTTCTTACCTTTGAAACTGTAGATACCTTGAATTTAAGAAAATACCATTAAAAAAATAATTGTACATGAGAACCAGTATATTAAATAAATATTTTTTCATTATATTTATTTCAAAAAATAAAAATAAAAAAATAGATCATATGCTAATCTAAAACCAAGAGAAGAAAGAAAAATAAAAATAAAGAGAATGGAAATCTAAAACCTTATAGTCATAGTCAATAGATATGGTTTGTGACAACAAAAATAAAATAATCATCCTATTTAATTTACACCATCATCCTTATTTTTTGCTACGTAGAAAATGGAAAAATCACACGCACTACTATTTATTGACCATAACATCTACGACTGTCGGTGCCTCGATTCGATGGTAAAACGCCAAGCAATAATGCGAGATCTCAATTATACACGAAAAGGAGCAGATTTCTATGAAACAAAGGAAAAAAAGTAGCGCCAAACTGAGATGACTCATTCTATTTGTGCCACGTATTATCTTGTAAACGGTGACTTCCCTTACGGATTTTTTGAAAAAAATATTATTTTAATGATTTTTTATAGAATGTATGATTAAAAGGTAGATTTTTTTTTTAATTTACGTGCAGAATATTTTATTGTGTGATCGCGTGGTTGAAAATAATTACGATGATGGCTCATTCTACCCGTCGGCAAATGGGGTCCATGTGAAAAAGACGCCGCACCACTTAACTCTTAATTAAACGAAATACCCATCAATTCAGTCAAGCTGTTTCTTGTACTATCTAAACATATTTACATGTTCATGTGATTATTCCTTGGTTTTGTTATGCTTTCTAATTGGTATATATTAATAAATTATATTGTTGATTGTGATTTCAATCCAGCTATGTGTACAATGATTAGACATCGTCACATTATATTGAGAGATCGTAAAATTTACAATATCCTTAAATCATTGTACAATTGGATTTTCACTTGTGATTTATGGGATAACCAATTCTTGGTGAATAGAAGTTCTGTAAACTTTTTGGCTCTTCTTTTTTGGGAAAATACAGATATGTGTGTGTGTATAAGTGCGTGTATGTATTGGAAGATAGGTGGGCATGTGAGATGCTTTTAATGAGGCTGATAATGACAATGGCCCCTCTTCAATTGCATTCTCTCTCCTGCATGAAAGTTACTTTAGTCGAGTGTTCCAAAGTTAAGACTTGAAAGCCCATTTGTTTCTTTGTTTTATAGAGTAGAATCAAGATCAAGAAACATTATGAGACACCTCCGTAGCGGTTATAGCTACAGAGGAGGAGCCATGGCTGGTGCTTTTGTGTTTCTTCTGCCCTTTCTGTTTTGTAGCCTATTCACTCCTCTCAGCCACGCTTCACCTTCCACGATGTCGGTATGTTTATGAAATCGTAATTTTCTTGTTTTTGCGTGTATTTTGATTGATCTATGTATAGTATGCGAATTCTGTGTTTCTTGTCTTTTGAGTGGTATTTACCTTTTTATAGTTTTGTTGAGTTTTGAGGGAAATGCTTGAGAAAGAAGAACACGAAAGAAAAATGATTTAAACTTTTATCTTTTGCTAGTTGTGTATAACATGAAAGAAAAAGATTAAACTTTATTTTTTGCTAGTTAGGTATAGTTTGAAATTTGGGAACAAATTTCTGAAAAGATTCGATCTTGAGAGGGATTGGCCTTTTTTTTTTGGGTGGGGTGGGGATTTGTTTTTAATCTTTAAGATTTTAGTGCGTACCTGCAGAAAGGAAAAAGAGCGGAAATATTACATAGTTGAGACTTGGGCATTGATGCTGAATTTGAAAAGGTGGAAACACCTTAGGATTTATTCCAAGTTGGGATCAGAAACTGGATTAGAAAATTGCAAAAAAGAACTTAATAGAGCATCATATAGGTAGATGTGGGATAAGGGTTTAGATGTATATGGAGTGGATGAGTTCGATATGTTGATCTATATTGATCTGGAAGCTTGTGGAGATGCACATGTTTTCCAGGATGAGCCTAATCGAATTTGACTATGTCAAGACTCAACAGTACTAGAAGATTTCCTTTTCTATCCTACTTTGGATTTTGGAAACTAGAAAAGGGGTTTCGGGATGATAGTAATTGGTGATGCAAAAAGTGAAACTATCATAATGTTTTACCTTCCGAAAAGAGAAAATAATATAAAACTTCAGACGAAATGAGTTAGGTTTGCCTCTCTGGGGTGGAGGAGTGGGGAGTTTGCTTATCTTATAATGCTGGTGCAAGTTGGTTAAGAACAGGGACCACTTCTCCGGTAAAAAACGCGACTTTAGAAAAAAGTAGCATTAAATGGTTCCTTGTGGAATGGCAAAAGTGCTTAATTAATCGCAACCGAGGATATGTGATTTTAGTTCATAGTTCGGATTCCCGAGCCGGCAACAGATGAATCTGTTTAATTAGGAAATATCAAAAGTTTGTGCGTTTTTGTTTGCCAACTGAAACATTGTCTTTAGTTAATCTTATTTGCTTGTGCAGGAGTGGAATGCTCCCAAACCTAGGCATTCACGACTTCTCAAGAGTGCTCTGCAACGCAAAACTGTGAGTAAGAGTTTTTTGAGCTATATGCATGTATTTTAACAAAAATTATTGTCTTTTGAGTTGGATGAAAACTTTTTGGAGCTATATGCTTGTATTTTCAACAACAAATATTGTCTTTTGAGTTGCATGAAAACTTTTCTTCATTGTTGCTTTTTTTCTTTCAGTCGAATGAACAACAGCTATGGATGCCTTTGGCTGACCAAGGATGGAAAACCTGTGCTGAATCAGACACTCCCTCCAGTGAGTAATAATAATCAACCAAAAATGGGTTGTAGCATTTTTATTTTCTTTCCCCCTTTTCGTGGAGGCCTTTTAAAGATGTGTAATTACCATCTATGACTATATTCACACATTTCTAACCTTTACTAAATTACTCATTTCTTTGAAACAGCACTGCCAGAAAAATCTCGAGGATATATTCAGGTTTTTCTTGATGGAGGACTAAATCAACAGAGAATGGGGGTAGGATTTTTATAGTTTCAATTATCATTTTATAAATTACTTGAGAATGATGATTTATAATTGTAGATTGTAAAAAATTGTCATTACTACTTCATAAGTTGCTAATTTCAAACTAGTTGTCAGTTGAAGTCACTGATGTTTACTCTTTTACAAAGATTTGTGATGCAGTGGCTGTTGCTAAAATTTTGAATGCAACTCTAGTTATCCCTCTTCTGGAAGTAAATTCCGTGTGGCAAGATTCGAGGTCCTACTCATTAACTCCATGCATTCACGATACTTTTCTAATATTCTAATATTTCGTATTTAAAGCAGAAATTATTTTAATAGCACTTGTACTTTTTCTCCTGCAGCACCTTTACGGATATTTTTGATGTGGATCACTTCATTAATGCATTGAAAGATGATATATCCATTGTGAAAGAGTTGCCGGATGACTTCTACTGGAGCACAAGGGAATATTATGCTACAGCCACCAGAGGTAATAGAGTCAAAACAGCACCCATTCATGCTTCAGCAAACTGGTATATAGAGAATGTGACGCCTATCCTGCAGAGGTGAGTATATAGTAGATATTTTTTCCTTCTTGTCAAACATTCAACCATTTAACAATATGAATCTTCCAGTGAACTGCATGGCATTTTCTGAAGCTAGATATACACAAACATTATTGTATATATACAGTTTAGAATGGGTAATATGTCTGCCAGTTCGCTTTGCTTAATGATAACTTGCTTGTCTATCTAAGGTAAATATACCAATCTTGATTTGTTTCCTCATGTTCTATTTGAGAACCCTTGGCTATATGACTAGGGCCTGCTGAGATGTGAATATGTAAATTTTGATCTGATCAGGAATTTTGTTTTTTCCAAACCCCATGGCACGTACAATAAACCAAAATTTTATTAACAAAACCTTCCAAGTGCTAACATATTTCGCTTGCTTTCATTCTCAAGAGAGCAACCAAAATTTTGTTAATGCTATTGTTGTACAACTTGAGACATGTTTTGGATTCATCAGATGGTTGACATTTTCAAAGGTACGGTGATTGAGAAATTGATTTAAGTTGATTTATGAGAAGGGTTGCAACATGTGACCCAAGAATCTGCAGTTAAGAGTTTGGTAGTTATGTTTCTTTCGTCGAGTTTCCACATGACGATGTTAAGACAAATGATTGTCGTTTTAACCTCACACCGATGTCCCTATGGTTCTTTAGCTTTATTACTGGGATTGACCTTATCAATATCTGAAATCAATGTATGGGGACTGTTTGGTACCTAAATGGGCACCAAAATTGGACCGAATCATTTGTCAGGGAAGACCGAGAGCTAACTATCGAGACTGGACTATCCGGACGCATACTTCGTTTTCTTCAATTTTTCAATAAAGACATTAATTCCATTTATGTCTAAATTGCGGAGTAAATTTGCCTCTTACCATTTGTGATCTGTGGTTGATCAGTTATGGGATTGCTGCAATTGCACCATTTTCTCACCGACTAGCATTTGACAACATGCCCAAGGATATCCAACGAGTTCGATGCAAAGTCAACTTTCAAGCTTTAGTGTTTGTTCCTCACATTAGAGCTCTTGGTGATGCTCTTGTCAGTCGCCTCAAATATCCGCCTAGTGAAAGTGAATCCAATACTAATTACCTTAAAGATGTTACCGATTCTAGAAGCAAGAAAGGAAATGGAAAGTTTGTTGTGCTCCATCTTCGATTTGACAAGGTATGTCTACTTGTTCAAGACAAAACCTAGTTAATTTTATTTTGTATCTAACAAATCCATTCTGGCTTTCTCATAGTTTTGATTATTATGCAATGCAAATGGGAGTAGATTGTTGCAAACAGACTTGTGCTATCTTCCTAAACAGAGTTGTGTTGAAATCTGCGTGACTTGAGATTCCTAACCTGTCTGATGCAGGAAGTATCTTTATGGTGTTTCTTGAATTTGTTGCTTTTTCAGGACATGGCTGCTCATTCTGCCTGTGACTTTGGTGGAGGAAAGGCTGAAAAGCTGGCTCTAGCTAAGTATCGACAAGTTATGTGGCAAGGAAGAGTCTTAAACTCTCAATTTACTGACGAGGAGCTGAGGAGTCAGGGACGGTGCCCATTGACTCCTGAAGAAATTGGATTGCTGCTAGCTGCTTTGGGATTTGACAACAGTACTCGCTTGTATCTTGCCTCCCATAAGGTTTATAACAAAAGTTTGGTTTAGATTTTAGGCTTTTAGCACAAAACTTATTCTGACACTTGGCAGTCAAAAATTTGGTTTCATACTCTAAAGTTCCTGCTTTGTTAATGCCATCGTTTGCAGGTTTATGGTGGGGAAGCCAGGATCTCAACCTTAAGAAGTTTGTTTCCATTAATGGAAGATAAGAAGAGTCTTGCCTCTTCAGAAGAAAGAACCCGCATTAAAGGAAAGGCTTCCTTATTAGCAGCACTAGATTACTATGTTGGCATGCATAGTGATATATTCATTTCTGCTTCTCCAGGAAATATGCACAATGCTGTGGTAAGCACCGAATCTCATTTATTTACGCTGGTTACTGATATGAAAATTGCTTAAAATCTTTAGGTTACTAAATAAGATTCTGGGAATCGTATGTAAACATTATTCTGTCTTGGCCATTATTTTCGAATTAATAATGTTTCAATTACTGCACTTCTGCATTGTATAACTATTAAATAGTGAAAGCTGGGGAATGACGTTTCTTAGTTGCTCATCTCAGCAAATGTGTTACTTTACTTGGAATTAACAGGTGGGGCATCGAACTTATCTAAATCTGAAGACTATAAGGCCTAACATGGCGTTATTGGGACAGCTTTTCTTGAATAAAAGTTTGACTTGGCCAGAGTTCCAAGAAGCTGTTGTTGAAGGGCACAAAAATAGGCAAGGGCAGCTCAGACTACGCAAGCCAGAACAGTCTCTATATACGTATCCTGTTCCTGATTGTATGTGCAACGCTTAAAATTACTTTGTTAGCACGTGAGTGTTTTATGTAGATGCAGCTATTTATTATTTGTGGCCACTAATAATCGAAATATGATATCCCTATTTGCATAGTCAGAGTGCCATACAATGGGATCATATTTATCTATCCGAGTTTGATATATACACAATTCACTAATAGCCATACAAGTGCTGTAATATATTTACCGAATTCAATAATTTACTATTGTTTGTTTAGCTCAAATTGTCTAAATTTTACGACAGAATGTGCTTCAATGTATATGTTCATTCAAGCACCCTCGTGGCATGTTTGGTATGCGGACATGACAAAACTTAAGGAAAAAAAGTCGAAAATCTTATTTGTTCTTGTTCAGTACTGTATACCCAGTATGTCGGGGGGAGCTTCAGGAGAGTGGGAGAACATATTTTTAGCTGTAAGATTGTGTTCTCAAATTCTCCAGTTCTCCACTGATTATTATAGTTGGGCCCATATGTGAGGTCTGTTCTTTCAAAGTTCAGCTCCCTGGCTTATTACTAGGTGAAGTGGCACCATCTACCGAGTTCATTACAGATTTTGTTTGGTAGGGATGTTTGGGGGAAGAATTGATTTTTGAATAGTGATATGATGGGATATGTGTCGTTGAAAAAGAAGAAAAAATTATTGATGTAATGAAAAATATTATTTTATTGAAGAATGTGTGGTTGAAAATAAGAATTAATTTGAGAATCAATTCTCAAATCACTACCAAACACCCCATTAAATTAAATCAGTGTGGAAAATAACTTTCCACCAAGTAGAAGAAATCTGTGGACGAAAAACATGGTAAAAATAAATTTCATGCCAAGTAGAAGAAATCAGTAAACCAAAAACATGGTCCCATCAACTCGGAAGTAATCTCACTAAACAAATACAATTGATATATAATGCTTTCCATCAATGTGTGATCAATTTGACCAAAGTGATCTTACAAGACATCCTGAAAAAGATATTAAGATGTCGATAAATGGATGTTTACATGGGATTTTATCCAAGAAAACGCTCTAAACTGGATGGTGCAAGAGTAAATATCATTAGTCTCGCTGATCTAACTGGTCGCCAATTGTTGACCCGAGGATATTTGAACGCTTGATGTCATTTTTATCCTTCTCAGCCACTGGAGGACTATTACCTCTACGTAATGCAGCCAATTCCTTCACATCATCAGGATTTAGTGAAGGCGCAATCACCTCTTCAATGGGCAGGGTTCTCTTTGAGCCCTCCAGGGCAACACCGAGAACTATATTCTCTTCCAAAGCAGGTTTTGTTACAGGAGGCTGCATGATTGGTGCTTGTCTCATGTCTTCTTGTTTCAGTGTAGTACCAGAAACAGTATCTGGTATATCGCCTCCAGACTCTGGCAAGGAGTCTGAGGCATTGTCTACTGCACTGCCAAGAAGAGAACTTCCTTGGCCCACCTTTTTAGGATTCTTGCTATTAGAGGTGTTCTGAGCCGAACCAGGTGAACTTTTGGAGTTAAAAGTTGATGCTTGCACAAACTTAGAATCAGCCCTAGAGACAGATTTTGATGTTGATTTTGCTGTTGCGTTATTGTTGACCTTGCGATCAGACAAAGGGCTCGCTGCCACGTTTTGGTCCTTCATTTCAGCTTTTGGCACTTGTCCAACCTCGGCACCGGCCTTCCTAACTGACGTCAGGATCTCTTTAGCCTTAGAGTCGGCAGGCAATGTTTCTTTAGATTTAGAATCAGTCCTTGAACTTGTTTCACCTTTAGCATCCACCATGTTATCAGGTGTTGACTGCACCGCAGCCTTGCTGTCTTCCTCACCATTCACACGCACTTGACGAGCTTGAGTTTTTGTCCTCTCTTCCCCATTAATTTTATAGGAGGGCTCAATCAATATCAATGGACGGTTTGATTCTGCTCCACGGTTAAAATCAGAATCTGCATATGGTATGTTGTCCAAGTCTGCATCACTATATATTTTCTGAACAGTACGAATGGGAGTGGCTAATCTAGCACGGTGATGCCGAATGACTCTGAGAAGGTCCAGAAGTATAGCTTCCTATTTTCCTCAACCAAAGAAACATTAATGAATTAAGGTTGAAACTAAATATATAGAAATTAAATGAATACATTTAGAAATGAGGAAATCAAAGCATGATACTTATCTAAAATCAGATTAAAATCAGATAAACTGCAGGTATAACAAAAATAAAATCTTAAAAGCTGTTGTATATTACTTCAAAACCAGGTAATCCAGTTTCCAATCCTAAGTGGCCTATCATTGAGCAAAGTCTGAATTGGTAAATAGGTGCAAACTCGAACAAAATCTGCATCTCACCTCTGCTGAATGTGTTTTCCCAAATCTTACAGCTCTGATACATATTCTAGGAGAGAGCAGCAATTTTAAACACGAAGAACAGGAAACCTCTTCCCAGTGCTGTGGAACTAATAGGAGCGTAAATCGTTTCCCCATGTAAACTTTCTACATGAACTAGCGACGAGTTGGCTGGAGAAGCTCTCAGGGTATATGCAATCTACTTCAGAGTACGACGCATTACCTAGTGTCAACTTAAATTTAGCCTCTGATGTAAGACTTTGCCGAATCCATTGGTTAGAACTTTATTTCTTTGTTTGTTGCTCCTCTAGTGAAGAGTTTGTAGGTCTAGACTTTTGCCTGCTCCATGTCTATTGTTATTATTTATTATTTTATTTCCTTTCAGTAAAAAAATTGATAGCTTTTTGGTACGCCCGTAGTACATTTTTTTCTTTATCAACTTCTAACTTTCTAACCAAAGTGAAATGACTAATTGATATATCAACAGTTTACTTTTTTCCACACAGACGCTCCAATGGATAGAGTTCATTAATCAACTTTCTCCCTGTTTCCATATTCTGGAATCTTAACTTTGAACTGGTGAGTTAATATTACTGCAACTTTGGAAATGATTAATTCAGAATGATCAAAGTTCAAAACGCGTGCATCACTAAGATGAATCTGTTTCAGCTACAGAACTAAGAGATTAAACTATCTGGTATCAACTTTGAGGTATGAGTGACATGACTGTAGTTGCAGTCGCAGAATGTATCAATTTATTAATCATGCAGACCAGGTCCTAAAACAAGGGAAAAAGCCTGCAGGAAAATGTGCCCTCACCTTAACACACAGGTATTCTTCAAAATGTGAGGTCTTCACGAAGCAGGACACCAATATCTGCATCATTTGGGAGGCGATGAGAATGCAGTATTTGAGGTGAAAATTTTAGAATCATATTCAGGAAACAAAAAAAAAACACTATGATTATGTAAAATTATTTTCCACGCTTTAATAACAAATAAAATGCAGAAAGTTCACGTAAAAAGGGTTTCACAAATTAATTCAACTAAGCATGAAAAAAAAAAAAAAAACCTCGGCTAAAATATCAACTTTAACATCATCGCATGCTAGACACCCACCATGACCTCAATCATTAGAAGTTATCATATGCATGGTACACAGCCATGTAGAGTTCTGGGAAACAAGAAATGAGCATGGAGACTGAATACAGTAACCACCAAAATAATTTTTTGCGATAAGAACACAGGATTATTTCTTTCTTTCCCTTCTTTAATGGTTTTTTGAGTTGTGGGGTGTGGGGTGCTAATAAGCATTCTTAGTTTACTATAATAATTTTCTAAGGAGGAACATATTTTTCGATAGTAATATTGGTCAGAAAAACAAAGGATTTTGATGATGTAATAAAATCCTACACCAAAATAATTACAATTTCGCATAATAATGTGACATAATTATCATATCAAGCATTGAAACTGACCAAGAGGGCCTGATTTTCAGGATTAATATTATCCAAAAATACTCTTCTATGCAACTTCTGTTGTTCAACTTGAGGATTCTTTGCCAGAACCTTGCGCATATCGGCAACAATGTTCTGCACAAGGCAGGGAAAAAATTGTGATGGGTCAGTACAAGATGAATTTCTTTTGAGAACTTATCAATTATAACCCAGAACAATCCAAAATGATCCTCACATTAATTTTGTTGACATCCAAGTGACTAATGGCCAGGTGGGTTTTAATACGCCAGTGAGTCTTTTGAGTGAGATTTCTCACAACATTCATGGTAAACTTGTGATTTGGAATGTGAACAGCTTCACGATCTTCACCTCTTACAATTGTTGGTGACCACCATCCCACATGCTTCCATTTGTAAATGCAAAATTATTGATAATCCAAAACATATTAATAGAAAGTAGACCCATTATAGAAACTCTGAGATAAAGCATGTGACAAACTTGCAATTTTGAGAATTAACCAATAAATGGAGATTGTTTTGTACTCATTTGATCACAAGGTGCAATTACAAACACTGGTGTATATCAGATATAAATTACCACAATCGGACATAATGTGCTTTATTTAGATAAAGCTTATCTTCCTCGAATACTAACCTCAACTGGTGGTGATATCTAATATTGGATGGTCAAATGAGTTCAACACTAACCTCAACTGTCCCAGAAACTTCGTAGTCTTCAATCTTCGTCTGAATCCATTCATTCACAACAAATGGCCGGGTTGCATGAATCATTGCACTTGAAAGGAAATTGGTGAATATCTAAAGATAACAATAAAACAAGAATTTAATTGGCAATTTCAGAAAATTGGAATGGGAGAGGGCTGGAAATGTAGAATGATAAATGTTCAAATAAAGAGAGCAATTTGATTTACACCTCACGCCCAGCAAGCGTCAGCAAGACTGTCCCGAGCCCTCCTGCAGTGAGCCATTTTTGGGTTGAGAAACCTAACAACTCCATGAACAACGATACAGCTGCAACCCATACTGCAGTGTATACAGTTCTGCCTGCAAACTGGAAGCCCATCTGCAGAGAAGAAATAAAACTTTCGTAGAATGAAAAAATAATACTGGCATAATCTTCCAATCCAGGAAGCACATCAGTCTTTTACGCACACATAATATTTTATCCCGTTTCCTTTCTCTCACTCTCTGTCCCCCCGCACA